GACGAAATAAGTATGAGAATAAATATCCATATGCTATTATGGTAATGACATGCAGTATATATACATGCATGCCATTTAACAGTTGAAAATCTAAACTATAAGTCCATTCTTTTTAAGACCATATGTACATTCGCTTTAATAAGATTTTACACATTAAGCTCCTCCAGTAAATCGTCTTTGTCCTAGGTCGGGACTTAGTCAGCGGTTTTAGCAGTCGGGAATCTACGGATTTAGACTTTTTGCCGGCTGCGACACTGTTGATCTCCAAGTGGAAGAGTTCTAATATCATGAAAATAATTCTGACACTATTTTCTCATCCTGCCCGTTGCAAATCAGGCCCCCCATAAAACTGAGGGCCTGCCACGCAGGCTAGCAAACGCCGTGATCCAGTGTATAGACAATAACTACCATCATGATGGTTTTTGTCTGAACGAATCATAGCTTTGATCGGCCAGGCCAGCGAAACGTACAAACCCGTACCTTATTAGGGTATTCGACCTTCTCTATATTTTTATGTTGAAATAACTTTTTGTGCTGATTCATGTATGCCTAAAAAATTTTAACCAGTGCAGTTCGCTGTATTCCGTATGTATGGTCAACAAGTTTTAATTAAAAACAAACAGCTTGCAATGTTACGATAAGTGTATCAGCCCTCCAGGAGGAATTGAACAAGCAGCTTCGTAATTCCGGTACTCAAACGACTGAGCTATAGACTCCAGCTGCCAACAATACTGAGCCATATTTGGGTATGTTATTGTGTATGACATGGCCGATAAATATGTATTTTTTTTTTAGAATTTTTAGTGCCTCCAGGTGAGGAAGTATGGCAGAAAATTTAATTAAAATTTACCAAAGTGGAGCGTATATATAAGTGCACAATTATAATCACATTAGGCAATGGAATTGCTCACTTTTCCGTTTTATTTTCTTTGGATTTATCCCACACTGCCTTTGTGAATTTCTATAAGATGGCCGGTTATAAGTCTATGTGATCTATGTCTTTAACGTCTTTAATTTCTGCTGAGACAAGTTGAACTGGCTCGGAAAATCCCCCCTTCCCTTATTAATAACTAATAAGTATAACATATATCACGCATCTTGTGTCATACTGTCATTTAACAAAATTATACAGTTTGTTAGCCCTTTTAGCTTTTATATACTTTTAGCTATTTTACTTTAGTTGTGAATTGATAAATATAATTCATCTATATAGACTCTGATCGACATCGTTTGATAAACATGAGCCAACCATTTATAGTTTTATATCTTGAATTCTAGTGTATTACTTAAATAAAGGATATTGACAATACAAAATTAGTTTGTCTCATTAAGAAGAACTCTTAAAATGATATATTAAACTCTATTACCGATTTGTCATATCTTGCTTAGTTCTCGAAATATTTAGACCGAAATTAATGAAGTCCGCCATCTTGGACTAATCCTTGACCTAATTAACTATGGTTTTGATGACGTAAGGAGTTGGGTTAACCATATTAAAACTACTCTAAAATGACCGAGTAACAATCCGAAATGATTTGAAATGTTTTTACTCATTTCCAAATTTCAAACAGCAACCCGAGAAATGAAGTTTTGAACCCATATTGATCGCTTGCTCTCAACTAGATAAAAAATAGCGTGACCCCTCCTTGAAACCCATCAATAATCCAACAATCCACTTTTTTCCACTTCTTTTTTCAGTCGAAATATTTTGAAAACTAAGCAAGATATAAACAATCTGTAAATGGAGAATAATACATGGGTGCGCGGAAATACCAGATTTATTTCGAGTGTTGAACATGATATCTCACGAGTGAGCGCAGCGAACGAGTGAGATGTCATGTTCAACACGAGAAATAAATCTGGTATATTTCCAAGCACCCATGTATTATTCTCCATTTATAATAGAGTTTAATATATATAGATTTAAGAGTTCTTTCTAATGAACTGAACTATTTTTTTAGTGCCAATGCCCTTTAATAAAGTGGAGACATGCAACAATTTTTTAACTGAGCGACTTTATATATTTATGAGAATTGTCCAAATACTGATGAAGGTACTCAGATGATTGGATTTATCACAGTGTGTATATAACTGAAAACATAATGGAGGGGGGCTCCCAAAGGGAGGCGGGGTCACAAAGAGTGGGGGTGACAAGGTGTGGAGAGTGCACTATGATAGACATGAAATGTTCCAAAGGATTTCGATATACCAGATCATAGTAATCAAGAACAGATTATTAAAAGCTGCAACATTTCAAAGAAATCTCTAGGTTATGATCATGCAATCTGCAAAAATATTGGAAGCCCAACCCCTCAAATAGTCGGCAAAAATCACCCTGAAATTTTCAACTGGGGGCAGCTCAGCCTCATGAACTCCCACTCCGAGTCCCCCTCCTCTACACCCCAGATTAATAATAGGATTATTATTTCAATTTATTTCAGTCTACCAAATTCGGCAAATTATATTTAGACAATTAAGTTGAAACTGAAATCGTCACTGTGAAGCGACTCTGTAAAACATAGGCATATGAATATTCGCCCGACCTTGATTCCAAATAGTACCCTTTCATCATTTGCGCGATTTTTAAGTAGAATCTGCCAGGTTTTTAAACAGAATTGCCCAAATTTTAAGTATAATATTCCCACTTAGGGGGGGGGGGGGGGGAGGGAGGGTGGTTTGCAGCTGAGCCTTCATAACCTTTCATACTGAAACTAGTAATAGTGACGCCAACTGTCAATACAACTTAAATGATGTTTTTTATGTGTCCGTATATACATGACACATGTGCTTTTAAATGAAATAAATATTAAAGTACGTCACCAATTACAACATAATGGTTTCACAAATTGGGACTGTTTTGAGCATCTAACTTAAAACCTCTTAATTTGAAAGCGTTTTCAAATCAACAAAAATTTTCAATTTAAAAAAACACTCATCTTTAAACGTTTTAAACGACGAAAGACACCAACGTATCAAATGCGTTTGTTCATGTTGTCAAACACACATGTGACGGTGTCATAAGAGTACCTTGCTGTCCTTGCATGTTGACAGTAATCTGAATCGCGTAGATTTAACGGTTAACTTACATCGGAATTGGACAGGAATACAAATTATATTTTCATTGATGGTTTGCCATAAAGGTAGACCTTTGTTTGACACCAACGTTTGTTTTCAAATACAGACGTCAAAGGTGATTTGGATAGTACCTTGTTGATAGTATTTCATGAATAATGACGAAAGACTAAACGTGCTCATTTCTATAGTAACGTAAACATGAAAACGTGATTAAGGAACTCGCTGATTCCTGGACTATTCTTGGGCTTCATATATGACGTCACAGAAGTGACGGGGGGTCAACTCTAAAACGAAACACAGTTATCAGAGTGAGTCGATTGTTCGTTTCATGTATTAGTCTTGTGTTTGGTGGCAAATACATGGAATTTCGTATCATTTTCTCACTCCAGTCTGCAGTTGAGACTACAGACAACTCCAAATTTAAATGAACTGAATCAGAATACATAAATTACATGCAGTTTCATTGATAGTCGGTAGAAAAATGTTCCAGTTTAGGCGAGTCACTTGTACGCAGTGCGTACCTATTTTTACCGTTTTAAAGGTCAAGGACAGATACCCAAGTATTTTTAAATGCGTTTGTTTTCAACTCCAAAACGTGATTTGGATAATACTGTGTTGACAGGCTTGGAGTCGCAACTATATTTCCCCTAGTAAAACAGGGCGGTAAAGCTATATCGAATAGAAATCCACATGTTCCAGGAATTTTACTAACACAAAAACATTGATAATGAAACTTCGTCAGTCGTCGGATGATTATGTTCTAGTGAAACTGAGCAGCAGCGCGAGCCATTGTTAAATTAATGTCCCTAAACTGATAAAGATCGGTTTGCGAATATTATAACGTACTTGTAAAATGAATTTAATAAATATTTGGTTTCTTTATAAGTATTCACTATGCATTTAAAATCTGAATCAGTATTGATAATTTTCATAAACATCCTTGCTCCTGAATTAGTCATTCATAACTTTCATAAACATCCTCTAACATGACTTACTGATCTGCGGTTTACAAGTGCGCACATGTGATCTAAATACCGCGTCGTGATTTGTTTGTAGTCTTATTAATCAGCATTCATGAATTTTACAAATATACTTAATACTTTGTGTGTATCAGAAGTACCAGTCGGTATGGCGCCCACCCCTGCACATCTTATTGTACAATACCATAATACAATACTGTATTGAACTCTCCCGCCCCCACACAATGAAATTGATCACAAAGTTTACTAAAGCCCCGTTTACACTACGCTCAATTTTTGGTACGGCACGGATAATATTGGTACCCGTACCACTTTTTTGGTTCAAAAAGTGGTACGGTACCAAAAATTGAGCGTAGTGTAAGCGGGGCTTAGCTAAATAGGTAGTCCAAGCTGACCAAGCACCAAAAAGTGGTACGGGTACCGATTTTATCCATGCCGTACCAAAATTGAACGTAGTGTAAACGGGGCTTAAGAACTGAATAGTTGAAAGTCCATGGAACGCTTTCCGGATTCTGCTGTCAACCGCAAAATAAATTTCATGTATGTTTGAGCAAACCTCTTCTGAATCAATACCCAAATGGTTAAAAGTCCAGTCTTAATGTTTTGGAAATGCATTGAATTGATTATTGATACAAGGAAGAGACACTCCAGCCAATAAAATACGGGGTATCGCCCCCACCCATTATATTGTGAGATAATGCATGGTTAACGTTAGTCTGTGTTATGGTTAACGTAAATACGTGATGTTTTTGAGGAAATAGATCACTGAAATTGGTGACGCCAATGAATATGATCTAGAAATGTTTAATGACATTATATAATTAAATACTTTACAGTTGCGGCAATTTTTGTTATTTAAAGGTTATAATCTTATAAATCGAATCCTCTTAAGTGCATTAAGCATGTTGTTTCAAATTTTACGGCACTTGACCGGCGTGAACTGCACTCGTACCATAATTAGTTATATTTTTCGGTAATATTTTTCGTAAATTTATCAAATTTTTTGCCCCAACTATTACTTTTTAATCCGAGCCAATCAAATATTTTCGCTGACCACGAAAACAATTTGCCGATAAATCCGTTATTTTGCCGACAAGATGTTAACGACGGCCCTGCTTGATGCGTTTTTCTTTGCAAAACAAATTTATGACGTCATGAAGTGTAACTGGTGTCTACTTTGTACAACGTTCTAGATCATGAAAATACAGTGATAAATGTATATTTGTAAAAGAACAAGAACGTGCAATTGTCTTCAGCTTTGGGTCGTTAGCTGTAGTAGCCAAAAGTTCAGAAATAAGCTCCGATAGTACATCTGTCATTTGAGACATAAATACAGTCCAGTATATTCTGTTCTTCCATACATCATGGAGTAATGTACGGCCAAATTTTCCGTTATTTTTACGCACTTTTGAGTGAAAACCCGTGAGGCAGTCAATAGGAAAGCTGAATAGGTAAGCTAATTTCTTTTTAGTCGTAAGCACCATAGTTAGCTAGCTAAACGTTTTCACTCAAAGATGTTTTAATCTTTTTCAAGGGTTCAGACACAAACAATGGCAACTTATTAAGAAGTACTTATACTACCGTAATTAAAGACAGATATAAAATATTAAGAGCAATGAAAAAGGAACACTACTTCCTTGTGTTGTCACAATAGGAAACGGCTCAAAGGTTTAGGTTTTTTATAGTGTCGGTCACAGTCTGGAATCTCTAAATCTAATGTCTTTACGAAACAGAACATTGCGTCAATAACCTGATCTGGTCTACAGCTTATTCAATAGGTCAAAGTCACTCCCTTTTTTAATGCATTCGAATGTTCCCGCATTCCTACTCGATTGCAACATATACCAGTCCACTGTGCTTTGAATTTATAAACATCGAGGCATGACCTTGTTTACCGACACCAAAGTTGTCAAACTTAGTCTAATATATACCAGGTACTCTACAACAGGCACAAGCCCAATACATTTATCATCATCAACTATATTGAAAAAAATATTTACCACTGTACAATTCAAATATCCATACATGTTCCTAATACTATACATGCTTACATCGAGGTTTAGACATGCAGTTAAATCAGTAACACATTTCATCGAACAGTCGGTTTTCTGATCTGACTTCAGGCTGGCGATTAAAGCAAGATAAAACTGATGTAAAAAAAGCCCAACGACGTTGAAAATCCAGCTGATGTAAGACAATCCTATAACTAGACTTCCAACAAATTGTCCTCCCTATCAACATCATGATCTCCGTCATAAAATTCGTTGTTCATTCTAAACCAAGAATTTACACGAATGTATTAGTATAGGACCCTGCATGGAAATGCAGGACTAAAACTGTAGGACAAGTTATTATTATTACAACAAGTTATTTGACAAGTTATTAGTTATTATCCCCTAGTGTTGGTGTAGCTTGGGCAGGTAGTCTTTAAATCGGCTGTTATGTAAACAGAGATAATGAATTTCAGTGATCCAACACACCTGTGGAAGTCTGCAGCTCTAATATTTGGGCCATTTTCTTTTCGGGTGTTTTCAATTGATATTAGATCATCTGGAACAACTTGCATTTGTACTCCAGGTGCTCCAGAAACCATCTTGAGGTTTTCAAACACAGTTTGCTTGATATTATCAAGGTACTACATGCAAATACATACAAAAAATATATTTATTGGTTAAAAACCAATCATTCCACCTTATATCTGTAGTACACGAGATAGAGTTTATTGGCAGTGATTTACACCGAAACGTGTGTTAAAAATCGAGGAATTTCTCAAACAAATCATATAAATTTTTCTGTGTTGGTGTTGTGTACTCAGGTGAATAATATGTTTGCGATGTTACTCTGAGTGCATATCCACACCGGGCGAGCTTGAAAAATATGCCCGTAGCTCAGTTGGAAGAGCATTGGGCTAGTATTCCAAAGGTCGTAGGTTCGAATCCCACCGTGGCCGGGCATATTTTTCAAGCTCGCCCGGTGTGGATATGCACTCAGAGTAACATCGCAAACATACAAATCATATAATTTAAAGTGCAATTCAAGCCGAAAGTTGATTTAATTTATCGCCATTTATTAATTGTGGTTGCATCAGGACACGAAACAAAGCTGATCATGAATTATTATTTTGAGAGACGTATGCATGTAGCAGTAATAGTATACAGCACGCGATGATGCACGAATACGAGTTCTCATGCACGAGAAATAGTATAGACAGTATAGACAGTGGTTAATGCTATAATCAAGAATGGAAAAAGTATATATTATCGGTCGAACTACTCTACTTATAAGAGTTTTCCACAACAGAAGATCAGGCTAACCTAGCCTCCGAAGAGTTTGGACCAGCTATGTAACCCTGGTGGACCGACTATGTTACCCCCACCCCCACGGGATTAATTTGTTCATATCAAAACTCCTACAAAATATCAAAAGCTGTGTTTACCCCATACTCCCATAGGATACGATCTTTTTATATTCAGACATAATTCGAAAAAATATCGATCGAGAACAATATCATTTTTATGTTGCAAATTGTTACAAATATGAATGAAACATGGATTATTTTGCACTTTAATACAACGGATGACCGGAATTTAACGAAACCAGATGGTCAAACCACGCCGAAACCGGCTATGTAAATCGTATCGAGCGACGAAGTGTGAAATGTGAATGGAATTTATAAGAATGTTTGCAACCGTTCAATTTATATTTGGTCTGTATCCTACATGCATATAACATCAAATATTAATACTTTTGGGAAACGGAATACTCTAGAAGGCAGATGGAGTGGTAAATGTCAAAATTTCAACTGGATAATGGATGGGTCTGGATGCTCTTGCCTCTTGGAATTGTCGATTACATATGTTATATAGTTTAGTGGACGTGCATGACATTGAAACTGGTTTGTCTACACAATTTTGAGATATTTCAGCAAAGAACTTCAAATTTACAATCCCATGTGTTTTTTACGCTGTATGTTACTCGTTAGCGAGAAATATTTCAGGGATTTGTTGGGTACATGTACAGCATGTAAACTATGTAAACGCTGAGTAAACTGCTTAGTGCTGACTGTGTTGTAACACAAATTTCAAGCAACTATTGTGCAAGTTGACCAAATGCAAGAAGTGTTTATATTCAATAATTATAAATCAAGCAGGGTTATACAATTTATATTGTTGCTGTATTATGTTGGATGTTACGCTCAAGATTATTCTACTGCATTACTGCATGGTATCTATTTTTTATCCCATCTAAAAATTTGGATTGTCACTTGAAAATTGACAAAAAACATGCCTTTACGCCACCAAAAGAGATACACCTCCATGTATAAATAATACAGGGATTGATCCAGCATGATCTGGTAGGGGGCTGCTCTGCAAGCTCTGGTGCAGAGTTGTGTCAGTCATGTGTGCCACTCGCCCATCAACATACTGTATTTGAATTGTAATTGTTGTTCACAGTTTGTTTATCATCATGTTATTGCTCAAATTACTGTATCTCATTTTGTCTCTATTATTTTTTGCTTTATATTTTAAAATAGTAAATAATCATGTTCCAGAATACTTGTCAAAATTATTGCCCCAGACGGTTGAACAAAGGTCCGGTTTATCATTAAGGCATTCATCTAATATTTCTTTGTTTTTTGCTAGAACTGAAAGATTTAAAAAATCCTTTTTTCCTTCGGCTACTATGTTATGGAATTCGGTTGAGTACTCAGTTCGTAGCTTGCCATCTACTAATTTATTCAAAAAAGCTATTCTTAAATTTTTTTATATTTCATGTGACCGTAATCATAGCTATTTTTATCATTCCATTGATAGAGATACTTCAGTATTGCATGCACGTTTGCGTTTAAACTGTTGTGCGTTGAACTACTATCTATTTAGAATCGTACTTTAACACCTGACTGTATTTGTGGTGCTGGCTGTGAAACAGTAGCTCACTACTTGTTCAAATGCCCACGGTATGCTGCTCTAAGATCAATCTTGCTCTCGGCTGCTGCACAAGTTTATGCTTAAGTTTATAATGCTATGAGCATGTATAAACCTGCTTTAATGCACCAATTCGTTAAGCAAATATTCTAGGACAATTAAGAAAACAACTATGACACACACAATGTTGTGGGAGAAGGGTTGTCGAGGAGAAATGCTCCGATACTTTAAACTGTGGCCAAAGTGTCGCCCCACAGACCCACTATTACAACAATATGAATATGATATAATTATATGTCCTCAGGGGGTCGTAGTTCCCCCATGTTGGACTTTACCCAAGGGGTAGTAGATCCCCGAGATGGGCATCCTAAATGTCCAAGGGGTAGTAGATCCCCGTGATGGTCATTGCTTACTTTAATGTCCAAGGGGTAGTAGATCCCCGTGATGGTCATTGTTTACTATACAATACACTGTATAATACATTGATTTGTGTGAGTCTATGGGGTTGAGGGTGACCTTTGGGAGCACTCCATCCCCACAAATACACAGCATGTGTATTCCCCATAGACGAAAAAACCCAACTCCCACCACAACTGTAATCGTATAGAAGACAGATGATCTTTGTGCTTTTCGAAGACATATCGTCTATATTTCTCTTTCGACACACTTTAAATAATTAATTGATTAAAATCATGTTATATGCAATTTTTTCTTTAAAACTACGCATTTGATCGTAAGACATATATTTGAGTATTACCATCACTCATACTACAGCTGAAATATCAGGGAGGCCAGGAAAAACCTGCAATATCTTTACAGGAAACCTGGATGGGGCCAAGACAACCAGCAGCTTCCCCACAAAGCTTCTATCTTACAAGTGCGTGATTGGAGGGTTGGTAACACGACAAACAAAGCTCACCATCATTTTTTTTTACGATTTATTTATTTTTAATGTCAATGTGCTCGTTGACAATTTTGCAACATGTATTTGTTAACTCCACTTATTTTATTTGAATTATGATTGGTGGAACTTGACACAATATAATTCTCGAATTATGTATGTGACTCTCTAATCTCAGAAAAATAACTTGTTCAATATTTTAAAATAGCAGGATCAAAAATTCAAAATGCAATTCAGGTGTTTATATTAAACCACAGTGTTGTGATTGAACATGCAATCATGCATGCATGAGAATAGCAGAAATTGTAAGAATATGTATTTGGTAGACTAAAGATCATGCAGTATAGTGATAAGACACTAAAATAAATTTTCATGAGTAGCGACATACCATACACTGTACGTATACCAATCTTTCATGACATCCAACTTGCCGATTTATCACAAATGTAGATAAAGTAGATCCTAAATTTCTCTCACACATGAACTTGATTTCCTATGTTGTGCTAAAGTATTGATAATGTATACGGGCCAAATAAATTAAGTGTTTGTTTTATTAAAGAGTGCCTTGAAATAGCTAGAAAGGAAGTTTTATATAATCTACTTTTGAATGATTGAATACAGTTTAATGTGACACTTTATTGAAACCCAATTCCCGAATCAGAGGCCCAATCTGGCCGGTTAATAACCTCAAGATGGTAATGAAATTGACATTGAAATACAGATCGATTTAGCGTGAATGGTCGATACATTTGGCGTTCGACAATTACTATGCCCGAATTCTGTGATAAACTAAATGAAGTTAAAGCATTTTGATTGGTTTGAAAAGCGAAATACGAAGCAAACGTGTGAATTCACCGCATACTTACGCAACAAATGCATGTGCATACATAAACACATTGATATACGAATGATATCAAATGACGCTTGTTGAATTCGTGTTTAGCCTCTCGATCTTGTTATAATTCCCGGTATGTTCAACAATATATTAGGGAATCTAAACGTTTTCTTTAATTTCGTCAAAGCTATCATTTTTCGTTGTTTATATGTCTGTTCAGTCTAATGTAATAGTGAATGTAACGTAAGCCCCTAGATGAGCCTAGTGCTCTTGGGCAAACGTTAATAATATATATATTTTAAATAAAAAACACCCCCTGCACCCCCTCCTGTCAGGGCTTGGAGGGTGCCTCCCCCCCTAGTAAATCTGGCATACTCAGCCAATCTGACAACCAAACACCAGACCAAGGCTTTTTCACTCAAATCAATCTGGCTCTTGCCTTGGTTTCTATTAACACTGGGTCCACAATTATCATGCCGAAATATATTTTATCTTGTTACATTTCTACACATCCTATGTAGGGCAATTTTGTCCTGCTTCTAACAACCATGAACTAACTGTACATGATAATTGTACTATTTTAAATAATTATGCCAGCCAGACATTAACAATTATTTAAAACAAAAAACAACTAATTGATCCAAAAAAAAATTATATGAAATTAAATGCATTTCATTGTGATATTAACACAACGTCTACCTTTATAAAAGATTACAACAATATTTCTATTTCCATCTACAGCTTATACAAAAATATATGTCAACCGACAACCTTCAATGATGTTTTCCATCTACAGATATACAAAAATATATGTCAGCTGACAACATGTAAATTATTTGATGACAATTTTAATTTCCGGGTTAAGATTCTTTCAATTGCCCACAAAAGCTGTATTCTTAATCGTTTAGCCGCCTTTAGCGAGCGTATTAATATAAATTCACTAATTTTCATAATTCTTCACTCCATGCAATCCGCCATCTTGGATGACAAATCCTCCCCACGTGCATACCCTAGAGACGAAATCGCTGCGCAAGCAAGATGCGCAGAACGGCTCAACCATGTCAGGTTTTGGCAGGCATCTCACCAACTTTCTGAAGTACGTGAACTACGAGATGCCTGCGGAGGAGGCTAAGGCTAACCAACATTCAACAACATGTTCCACATGCGTAAAAGAAGTTGTGTTTCCACAATAAAACAACTAACCTGTTTAGTGTTGGTATTTTCATGTTTAGTGCCAATTTCGGGATGTAAAGAAAAGTCTGGTCCAAAATATTCATAATATTCTAAAACAGATAAAGAAGTATATGATTAGCAAACATGCATGTTATGTACATGTTTACTGTAGCACTTCACATTAAAAAATCTAGCTTCTCTAATTCCACCAGCTCCTGAAAATGTCAAAAATTATAATCTCGGTGTCAGTGTAGGTAGCGATGAGCACAAGAAGCGACCTTTTCAGGAGATATAGAGACGTCGAAGCAGGGACGTCGCTATAGGGCGTGTGTGTCGGGGGTGTAACACCCCCCCCCCCCTCCCCAATAATTCACACGTTGGTCAAAGTTGGTCAAAATGGAACTGATATTTGCCCAAAGTTGGTCAAAATGGAACTGATATTTGCTTAAAATTGAAGGTAAAACTCGGAAAAATTTGGTAAAAGTTTGGGATATAAGATGGTCGAAGTTATTAAAAGTTATGAAATGGTTCGCACTTTTAACAATTTTAAAGCTTCAGTTACGTTTGTGGTGAAAAAATCGGAAGCATTGCTGTTATTGGTCGAAAATTTTTGAATATGCTTATATTAGTCCGGAAAACTTTTTTCGACTATATTAGTCCGGACTGACCTATACTACTGTATCTTAAGCCCGATCACATAACTGCTGCCCATTTCTGAAGTCTACAGTACATGTGCCTAATATCAGATGACTTTTTTGGCCTTGTACAGTATTTTGGGTGCTGGTACAAACTTGGGCGTAACGTTCAACGTTGTGTCAAGGGGTGATATAAAGCCCTGCCTGTCAAGTTTAGGCCTTACATTCTTCCCCAAGTATTTTCGCTATTTTTATTCCATAATTAACTTGCTCAGTTACATACCATTAGCTGGGATTTCATTACTAACTTGTTCATCTAGTAATATCGATGTTTCATACGTCCTAAAAAGTACAAGTACATAATAGTACAATGATAAAAGTTCAAAACCGTATATACAGTGGTGTTGTAAACACACCAGCTGTCATGCTACAGAATTATCTAGCAGCCTACAGTAACAAAAAGTGGTATGAACTATGAACTAGGATAATATTGAGGGACTGCATTATGTGATCTGTGCGAGAATCCAATCACACTTACTTGGGAAATTCAAAGAAACAGGAAATGAGGAAGACAAATAAAATTATTAAAATTTAGTTTTTACGCTCAACATTTTGGAGATATAATTTTGGGTAGTGAAGATGGGTGACGGTTTAAAATCTTGTGCAAACTCTCAAATATTTTATAAACTTTCAATCTCCTAATAATACGAAATTTCAGCCAGGACGCAAGCCATTACACACAGTCAACGTATACAGTTCTTACCAACAACGTGCAACGTTCCGAATAGTGTATCCTCCACCTCCCAAGACCAAAAGAGGCAGGTTTAAGTTCTTTGTAAACTTTACGCATTCTCTACAAAAACAAAGCACTTTCACGCTCAAGTTATTGTACGTTATTAGAGACCTTAAGATTGACGTTTACGGCAAACGTCAAACCGCTAGCGAAGTTTTTGATTTTACAGCTCTATTATTGTAGCTTTTACACCAGTTTTGAAATATGTTAAACTGATTAAACTTGTGCTCTTTAGCAATGATTTAAGAAAGAAAATTAACCACTAATCACGCCATTCACCAAAGCAGTAAATTAAGATTTGGCGTTTGAAGTTGACGTTTGAAGTATAAATTTCATGCTTTAACGACTACAAGCCCTCGTAGCAGTTCAAGCATGAAATCTATACGCCAAACGCCAACTTCAAACGCCAAATCTTAATTTACTAACTGCTTTGGTGAATGGCATGACTAGTGGTTAATTTGCTTTCTTAAATCATTGCTAAAGAGCACAAGTTTAATAAATTTAACATATTTCAAAACTGGTGTAAAAGCTATTATAATAGAGTTGTAAAATCAAAAACTTCGCTAGCGGTTTGACGTTTGCCGTAAACGTCAATCTTAAGGTCTCTATTGTAAATTCTAAACATGCACATCCGGGACATGTTCACTTACAGTAATTTCAAAATGACGTATTTCCTTGTTATCGTGAAGAAAATTAATGTAAATGCATTTAAAAGAATTAAGCATTTCATGAACTGTATACACGGGTTAGGATAAAACGCGGATACGGACGGACGGATGGATGGCGGACGGACGGACGGATGAGTGGCGGACGGACGGACGGCTTCCAAAAAACGTTTTTCAGCCTTTTTTAAGTCATATCCGCGTTTTATCCAAAAGGATAAAACGCGGATATGGTCCAAAAAACGTTTTTCAGCCCTTTTTCAGTCATATCCGCGTTTTATCCAAAAGGATAAAACGCGGATATGGTCCAAAAAACGTTTTCCAGCCCTTTTTTAAGCCATATCCGCGTTTTATCCAAAAGGATAAAACGCGGATATGGTCCAAAATACGTTTTCAGCCTTTTTTAAGTCATATCCGCGTTTTATCCAAAAGGATAAAACGCGGATATGGTCCAAAAAACGTTTTTCAGCCCATTTTCAGTCATATCCGCGTTTTATCCAAAAGGATAAAACGCGGATATGGTCCAAAAAACGTTTTCCAGCCCGTTTTTAAGTCATATCCGCGTTTTATCCAAAAGGATAAAACGCGGATATGGTCCAAAAAACGTTTTTCAGCCTTTTTTAAGTCATATCCGCGTTTTATCCAAAAGGATAAAACGCGGATATGGTCCAAAAAACGTTTTCCAGCCCTTTTTTAAGCCATATCCGCGTTTTATCCTTTATCCGCGTTTTATCCAAAAGGATAAAACGCGGATATGGTCCAAAAAACGTTTTTCAGCCTTTTTTAAGTCATATCCGCGTTTTATCCAAAAGGATAAAACGCGGATATGGTCCAAAAAACGTTTTTCAGC